AAGGACGGCCATATATAATAAATATGAGAATTATGATGTGATAACTGCCTAATACAGACAGACAAATACACCATCATATATGTTAAGGTCAGGTCAATACAAAATGTGCTTATTTGTATAATTTTGGATTCTGTGGCAATACGTTCTGCTTCCAATTTACTCATTAAGTTGTGGTTTGTCCAATTTTAAAATAGAAAATATATAGTTTATTGATCTCTGATGGAGGAAAGTCACATTTGGCACAGATAGAATCTCTCAGATTTGTGCAAAAGACAGAAGTGTGAAACATGTTGACTCATTGACTGCCATTGACGTATTCATCAGAGACCCTCTTTTCGACTGGAGATTACGGGGATAATAAATATAGATAAAAACAAACTTATTTTTGCTGATCCAAGTAGACAATCCACTCTTTCAGAATCTGGTTTCACTTGTCACAAAGTCTTAGGACATAATATTCTGTGGGTTCTTGAGAATCAGGGAAATCATCAAAAACGGCAGCAGTCAATGAGTTAAAGGTTCAAAATATAGTCTGTGCAGGATATGATTACGTACAATAAAATAAAATTAAAGAAGCAGTGGCAATAGCAGTGCAGGTTTTTAGTCCTAGTGCATTAGTGACTCATTGTACAGTCTGACAGCGGTGGGGATAAAGGCTTGTCTGTTCCTTGTATGTGATCAATACAAAGGTTTGTGATAGAAGTTATAATCTAAATAAAATAAAATAACACACTATATGATACTATACTGTGTTGTCTGATGTGTGGCCTTTACGCAAGGCAGACCTAGAGGATAAACAGCGAACTCTTCAGGCCACCACCGGTAGTGCAATCCCCACCGCGGACGCGCATAATATCGAGGTCAAATTCTTAGCACGTTTTCCAGTCTATTATTAGAGCACATGTGGATTTAAATATACAAAACAGAAACGTGGCCATTCCAACTGCGTCAAATACAGAACAAAATAATGTGGCGCAAACGGGAACAAGATGAAGGCTGTCATGCCCCAAACAGAATTTAATTAACAGATAAAGCAATGGCGGTCAATGGACACAGGTAGAACATGAAAATGGGGAAATATAAATATGAAAATACACTGAGCTACTAGGAGCAGAGCCATCCGCGTTTAGGATTCAGTGACTGTGCGTTTTAAAACATGGTGGAAAAGCAGAATTGGCACAAAAAAGGATTTTCCAAAACGTCGTCGCGCACAATGAGCTGAGAGTTTACGTTCTCATTCCTCCACAAGGAACACACGGATGTAGAAGAGACCGAAGCCTACATTACAACACATCATCCATTCAGTGTAGTGACCCCTGAAGATGTCCAGCACATCACAACCACCGCGTCTGTCTGCCAGCCCCCCGCGCCCCCGCCGTGCGTAAAAGAGACGCCTTACTTCATCCAAGTGGATCCGGGAAACGACCACAGCGCGATGTGAGGATTAATCCGGTGTCAGTAACGAAAGGAGGACGTGTGTGAGTCCTGGCGGCGTGGACAGAGCCGTGTGCCCGCTGTGAGAGCTGCACATTCAGCTGAGGTTAGTGCAGAGAGGAGCCACTGACGGCTCTCTCCAAACGCAGCACCACGCCTCCCTCTTAAAGCCACCGCACCGCTGACAAGGCCGCTCCGGGCTGGACTCCTCCGGGCTGGACTGCTCCGGGCTGGACTGCTCCGGGCTGCAGGAGAGCTACACTTTTATCTAAAACACTGTTCCACAACCTTTTTGAGACGCGGCACACCTTCTCCATTGAACATTTGTCCATTTATGTGACTGATAAAGAGGTTTGAGGTTGAAGTTAATGTCATATCATATAAGTTTATTTTGTATGTTCTGGAAACATCAGCGAGTCCTAAGTGTCTCTGAGATGCTGCAGTTCAGTGTTCATGGTTTTACACTGGTCCACACCAGAGCAGAGAGGATTCATGGTTTTACACTGGTCCAGACCAGAGCAGAGAGGATTCATGGTTTTACACTGGTCCAGACCAGAGCAGAGAGGATTCATGGTTTTACACTGGTCCAGACCAGAGCAGAGAGGATTCATGGTTTTACCCTTGTCCAGACCAGAGCAGAGAGGATTCATGGTTTTACACTGGTCCAGACCAGAGCAGAGAGGATTCATGGTTTTACACTGGTCCAGACCAGAGAGGAAAGGCCAGTCCCTGTGCTCTCAGAGTCCCAGCAGGAGGCCAGTCCCTGTGCTTCTGATATTTCACAGCCGAGGAAATAAGTCACAGCAACTGTAGAAAGTCAGTTTTAATCGTATTTTATCAGTGAAAACCTCTCGTCCAATAATCAAAGAGTATGTACTATCTGTGTCAATTCAAAGATGATTTTATTTCTGAAAATAGTTATGGCCAAGAATGGAATGTTTTACAAATACAGAGATGAAGCTGAAGCGCAGATTCAGACTGAAAGACCGGCCACGGCTCTCACCCGTCCAGGGCCAGCCAATCACACAGCTCTGCCAGCCTCCAGCCTCAGCCAATCACACAGCTCTGCCAGCCTCCAGCCTCAGCCAATCACACAGCTCTGCCAGCCTCCAGCCTCAGCCAATCACACAGCTCTGCCAGCCTCCAGCCTCAGCCAATCACACAGCTCTGCCAGCCTCCAGCCTCAGCCAATCACACAGCTCTGCCAGCCTCCAGCCTCAGCCAATCACACAGCTCTGCCAGCCTCCAGCCTCAGCCAATCACACAGCTCTGCCAGCCTCCAGCCTCAGCCAATCACACAGCTCTGCCAGCCTCCAGCCTCAGCCAATCACACAGCTCTGCCAGCCTCCAGCCTCAGCCAATCACACAGCTCTGCCACAGCTCTGCCAGCCTCCAGCCTCAGCCAATCACACAGCTCTGCCAGCCTCCAGCCTCAGCCAATCACACAGCTCTGCCAGCCTCCAGCCTCAGCCAATCACACAGCTCTGCCAGCCTCCAGCCTCAGCCAATCACACAGCGCTGCCAGCCCCTAGACAACCCACCACCAGTGCTTGACCCCGGGGGATCTGAGCCCATCACAGCAGCAGATGAACTCCCCTCTGCAAGTGTCACTGCCGGGGTCAATGCGGCAAACAAATAAATCTTTTTCATGCATTAATGTTTCTGTCTTGTCTCTTCAGATTAGATTGGTCACATTTATACATCACAAATCAACTCCCAAAACACTGGCAAAAAAGTGACAAAAAAAAAAAAAGACATTAAATATTAAAACAGTTTGAGGATTTAAAAACAGTTTGTGTTTTATTTGCAGACCTCCGTAACAGTCTGTGCAGTCCTCATGATGAAGACTGAGTTTGGTCAAAGCAGTGGATGATATAATCCAGAGAGCAGCAGAGAAAACATTAATCTGTCCCAATCTGGCAACGTGCAGAACAAGTCAGTGCATAATCCAGAGTATCACAGTCACATGATCACATGAGTCTGTAGCTTCAGCCTCCACCGAAGGACGTTACAGCACAGACTGAACGATCATAATAACAATAATAATAATAATAATATGTTAAGATTTTCAAGTCAAGTCATTATTAAAGGAGGGTTCAAATAGACTGACAAGGACAGAGACCATGGACCAGCAACAAGACCAGAGGAGCACAGGTACATATAGACACAGGTACATAAGACACAGGTACATATAGACACAGGTACATAAGACACAGGTACATATAGACACAGGTACATAAGACACAGGTACATATAGACACAGGTACATATAGACACAGGTACATATAGACACAGGTACATAAGACACAGGTACATATAGACACAGGTACATATAGACACAGGTACATAAGACACAGGTACATAAGACACAGGTACATAAGACACAGGTACATATAGACACAGGTACAGACACAGGTACAGACACAGGTACATATAGACACAGGTACAGACACAGGTACATAAGACACAGGTACATAAGACACAGGTACATATAGACACAGGTACAGACACAGGTACAGACACAGGTACATATAGACACAGGTACATAAGACACAGGTACATATAGACACAGGTACATATAGACACAGGTACATATAGACACAGGTACATGTAGACACAGGTACATAAGACACAGGTACATATAGACACAGGTACATGTAGACACAGGTACATAAGACACAGGTACATAAGACACAGGTACATATAGACACAGGTACATATAGACACAGGTACATATAGACACAGGTACAGACACAGGTACATATAGACACAGGTACATAAGACACAGGTACATATAGACACAGGTACATGTAGACACAGGTACATAAGACACAGGTACATAAGACACAGGTACATATAGACACAGGTACATATAGACACAGGTACAGACACAGGTACATATAGACACAGGTACATAAGACACAGGTACATAGGCAAGGCAAGGCAAGGCAAGGCAAGGCAAGGCAAGGCAAGTTTATTTATATAGCACAATTCATACACAAGGCAATTCAAAGTGCTGAACAAAACAAGAAAGCATTAAAATCATAAATAATCACAGAACATTAAAAAGAAAGATACAAATATAAAATCCCTCAGTTGTATGCACAGCTAAACAGAACTGTCTTTAACCTGGCTTTAAACATTGTCAGAGAGGAGGCCTGTCTCACATCTCCAGGAAGACTGTTCCAGATTTTAGCAGCATGAATCTGAAAAGCAGCCTCCCCATGTTTAGTTCTGACTCTGGGCACTAACAGGAGTCCAGTCCCTGTGCTCCTCAGAGTCCGGGCTGGTTCATATGGGACTAACATGTCACTAATATATTTTGGTGCGAGGCCATGGAGAGACTTGTACACAAGCAGAGCTGTTTTAAAGTCTATTCTCTGAGCCACAGGAAGCCAGTGCAGAGACCTGAGGACTGGACTAATGTGGTCGTACTTCCTGGTTCTTGTCAGGACTCGAGCTGCTGCATTTTGAATGTACTGCAGCTGTTTTACAGCCTGTTTGGACAGACCTGTGAGCAGGCCATTGCAGTAGTCTAACCTACTGGAGACAAATGCATGGATAAG